AAGAGTGTTTCTTCCCCTGCCCCACTAAGGACACCACTCTGTGTGCTGTCCTCAGACATGAAGTCTCTGGCAATGAAGAATAAGGCCTTTTCTAAAATGTTCTTCCTGGGAAGATTTGCGTGTTCACTTAACTGAGCTCATGGAGGAAGGCCATCAAAACCCTTCCTATTTCTTTATCTGGGGAGCTGGGCTGTTGCTACTTCCCTGATTTGCTTTTTTAAATATTTGGTAATGATGATTTTGATGTCCGCTGCTTTTGGAGCTGTATATGTTTTACTTGTATGTTATAGGTTGAGGCCAGGATGAATGAATATTAGAGTCCTGCTTTCTGTTGCACCAAAGGGTAGTGTTGGCCATTGTTTTCTTGTGATCTTTGCTAGTGCTTCTGACTTTGGTTCAAGGCAAACCAGCCTTGTCAAATCAATGTTCACCTAATGCTTAAAGTATATATCACTTGTGTACCCAATGGGAATCCAATAGGGCTGACAACATAATTGTCCCCTCCTTCATTCTTATCCTCACAATAATGCTGAGAGGCTGAGAGAGAGAGAGTAACTGGCAAATCACCCAGTGAGCTTCCATGGAAGAATGGAGATTGAAGCTTGCATTTTCCAAATCCTAGCCCAACATTTTGACCTCTATACTGTACTAGCTCTCAGCAGATTTTAGATTTTCTGTGGAAAGTGCAAAGTTATACCACTTGATCCTAAACACATATGTTCATGATATTGTGTGTGTAAACTGCCATCAGGTGGTAGCTGACTTATGGTGACCCCATAGGGTTTTTAAAGCAAGTGAACAAGCAGAGGTGGTTCGCCATTACCTTCCTCTGTAAAGTCTTCCTTGGTGGTCTCCCATCCAAGTACCAGCCATGCTTACCTTCTGAGTTCTGAAAAGATTAGGCTATACTGTACCATTCCACATCCAGCTTATATTACACAAGCCTAAAATTATAGAAATAAAAAGTTAAAAACACACATTTACAGAATGTTTCACATTTGCTCCCAAAAGGCCATGCAGGAATAAATGGTGTGCTATATTGTCTTGAATGGCTCTAATACAATGAGTCTCTACAAAGGTCAAGGTGGATATAAGCCAATCAAGCGGCTGATGCTATGAATGTCAGGGGAACAAGATGGTTGTTTTTGATTGAGCATTGTCAGCCGTAAATATAAGAACAGTGAAGGACTAATCTCCTGAGGCTGTTATAAAGAATCTGGAGAGCTGATATGATTTATTTTAACTGGCACTGTGGTTGATCATTTAAAGATCCCACAAAAGTACAAACAAAAACAAAAAGCCCACAAAAATAAAGCCAAAAGCCACCAACCACAAAAAAGATCAGTGGCAGTGTGCTGTTGTCTGCTCCTGTTTAATTAATCTTGGCAAGTCAAAGGGAGCTGGGCCAATCCCAAGAGACGGCTTTTACTCGGAAATCCACTCAATCTAATTTCACCGATGTAGGGCAGGAGAAAGACTTGGAGCAGAGCCTACAAGCCATTAGTACATAGCGTAGGTGAAGGCAGCTGGGAATGTTCTCCTCCCTCGGAACTGCTACCCTTCCTGCCTCCCTCAGCTTTATAGCAATCAAGGCTGTGTTTATTCACAACATTCATTCATTTACTGATAAAAACCCGTATGTGCACCATCCTGGCCCTTTCAAGGAAACACACAGTAGTAAACCAAGAAGCTTGTGTTTGTAGAGAAAGGGATTGTTGTTAATGCTTTAACTACTCCAGGTCTTTACATCTAGTTTGATGCAGAGGATTTATAAGTCATTCCAATCATAAGGAAAAACATTGGTGCTGGGAATAGTGTGGCCAACTCTGGCTTGGGAAATTCCTGAAGACTGGGGGGGGGAGCAGAAGAAGAGGAGGAGGAGGAGGAGGAGCCTGGGGAGGGGGGAGTTTGGGATGGGAAGGGAACTCAAAGGGTACGTGAATCCATAGAGTTGACCCTCCAAAGCTGCCATTTCCTCCAGGGAAAATGATCTCTGTCGGTTGTAATTCCAGGAAAACTCCAGGCCTCAACTGGAGGATGGCAACCCTATCCGGGAATCTCCCAGTACTAATTCCTAATTTACTCCTTATCAGTCAAGGATGGCCCTTGGTTTAGTAGGCCTGTATCAACCAACATTATTGGTCTTGCTAGGAACTGAGAATGGACAGGAAGACTAAAGTGGATTTTACTGTGCTCATTGGAGAGGAAGCAAGTTTGATGGGAATATGTGGCCAGCCCCCTTGTAATTCATTCAAAATCCTTCTGCAGCCACCATCTGGGAAGCACCATTATTAGGCTATTATGTGAAGTCCTGTAGGCCAGTACCATCTCTTTATAATACATGAAGACATTTTCTTACAATATAGAATTCCTGTATGTTCTGAACTAAAACACAAGGAATCTATTTGATTAAAATCCTATATTCCCAGGTGACTTAACATGAATGAATTCAACAAACCGAAAGGAAGGAATTTCCCAAAGGACAGTCATTATATTACATTTGTAGAGCCGTAAATTGAAACAATGCAAGAATTAACCCTTTGTGGAGACATGATGACATAATGAGAATATATCAGGACTTTTCAGACTGATCTCCTCTATCTTGGCTCTTCTGACTCGGTCCTTATTTAACTCAGACCACATTCTGGTGTATATTCCGGTTCTTCGTTCCCCCTCCTGATCATACCAGTGTCCGTTGTTTGTTTAGTATGTCACGTATCTAGTGCTTTCTGCCACATTTTCCCATGTCATCCACATATATCAGATACACTGGCAGAAAATTTACTTGTGTTTAATGTAATGAATTTAATCATTGCCCCATATTCACAATTGTACAAAATTCTATTAGGGACTCTGTTTCATCCCTAACTGTGTCCAGAAAGAATAAGGAAGCTGGTAAGGCACAGGCCAGTGGGCCTAGGAAGTAGGAAAGCACAAAAACTAAGTTGTCAAGACGAGACTAGAATTTGGAACCTGGACAGAGGAACCAGGCCCTTTCCAACTCCGTTGTTGTGTGTGCGCTCCCCTTTTCTAATACAGTTATCTTTGCTCCATGCATGTCCTTACAGTTGTATGTTTGTGCCTCTTAGATGCTGTAGAAGAAACCAAACCTTCTGAAAGTGCCCAGCAGGAAGAAGCAAAAGAAGACGAGAGCAAGGCGGACCAAGAAAATGCCTGAACATTAAGAAATGACTCCCCGTTGCCCCTCCCTCCCTCCCCTTTCCTGTATCTTTCCTCCCTTCCTTGTTCCCATCTGACCCGCTCCCACTCACACCTGTGAGTCTGTCTGTCCTCCTTGTCCTCTCCTCCCTCCCACAATCCTTTTTCTCTCTGTGGCAAACATTTAAAGAAAAAAAAAAAGCAGGAAAAATCCCAGTCAAACAGTGTGGCTTAAACATTTTGTTTCTTGGTGTTGTTATGGCGAGTTTTTTGGTAATGATGATCCAATCATTTTGGGAAAATTCTTGCACTGTATCAGAATTCTTTGGTCTGCGCGTGCGTGTGTTTGTCTGCCCACCACGAATGCGCTCTCTCTCTTTTTCCCTCTCTCTCTCTCTGTTCCAAGTGTGTGTGCAATGTTACGTTCATCTGAGGAGTCCAAACCTATTGAGTGAGTTAAGAAAAAAAAAGAACAAAGATTTTTTCTTTTCTCCCCTTTTCAATGTGATGATGGAATGAACTAAATGAGACAAAACAAACAAAGAAAAACAGAATGAAAAAATACAACCCCAGTTTGTTTTAAAAAAATAAAGCAAATGTGCCAATTAGCGTTACTTGCGACTCCTGGCTCCTTTTTCAAACTGAAGAATGATAATAAAGGAGAATAATTATAATGATGTCACTGTGATTGATTTCTGTAACACTTCTTAGTCCACTGAGGTCTGTGTGTTGTATATAAAGATGGAAGATCTTGGAGGTGGTTAGTTAAGTTCTGGATTTCAGCTGAGAGCTAGTTGTCGTGTGGCATTTTATAAACGGAGGCCTATTCTTGTGTCTGCAGTTGTCTTTTTATAGGACAGGCCACAGTAGTACTATTTCCCATGCCTTAGCAAAACCAAGAATCTTGCTGTATACAGAACCATAAAAAACAGTGCATGTTAGTGCTTCCATTTGTAAATCACAGCATACATGTGTTTTATGCACAAATCTGAAAATCTTCCATCTATGAAAATGGAAAGACCCCCTCCCCCCCCGAAGCCATGATGTAACTAAATGGATCTTGGCTAGAATCTCTTCTCAAGTTGTCCTGCTGCAATTAATATTTGGTAATCACGTCTTCTTTTAAGGATAAGAGAATAACACATTAAGGAAGAAGTAAGTTCTCCAATATTTTAATAGTACGTACCCAAGTGGTATTTTGGGGTCCTATCTTATAGGTAAGTATGTTGAAAGTTGCAGCATAATTGGGTATAGATTTGGGGACAACCAGGATTTTGGAAACCAACTGATCACGGGAAAAGGGGACAGTTGAAAGGCCTGGAAATAGGACTGACTGAATAATCAGAGGAAAATCAGTTTTATCCAGAAAGGTGTTTAGTATTTCTTGAAACAGCTCAAGACTTAGTAGACCGTGTATAGAAAAAAAATGCCTTTGAAACACTGGAACACTGTCTTCCAGTTTTCTGTCTGAGGTGTATAATGTAAGCTTCTACCCTACAGGATTTCTCATCTTGTGGTTGCCACGAGTTTAACACAAAATTCAGGGGATAGCTCATTTTACAGCTTCATTGCAGTTTCCTTGTATGTTTTCTCTAAATGCACTATAAGGAAGGGATTGCTGTTACAAACTAGATTTTACTGATGACCTTGACATCGATATAAATATTGTGCCAACCTCCCTCTTCTAATCCTTAGCTGACCCAGCCTTATTATTTATGACTTCAGATTCAAACTATATAACCACCAGTTCATAGCTGGCAGCTTTGGCAGGGCCCTGTGGGCACTGACATCTTCCATTGGGTCAACTACTGATTTTATGAGTTGCCATATCCAATTCTACTTTCAGTTTTCAGCCCCTAATGTATACTAATCTTGACAAGAACTTCATCAGAAGTCATCTGGAAAACAGAAAATTGTGGAAGAAAGGATTTGGACTACTACACACATCAAAATTGTTTTAACTTTTATATTTGTAACCTAGATCTTACAGGTCTATGTCTAACATTGAAAGCATTTTTTAACTTATGCTTTTACGGTAGCTCTTAAAATGAAGTTACAATGAACAGAGGATGAATGAAGGGATGAAAACATCCATTTGACACTATACTATTCATGAAAAATAGTATCTTTGGAAGCTGGCCACTACTATGGCAACTACTGTCTCCCCTTCCTGTAGCTATGCAGCACCCTCCACTGACAAAATGGTGTACATCATGGAAAGAGAAGAACATTTTGTTCAGGCAATTAGGATGGCAAGAAGAAAGCCACACAAAGTGCTAGTGAACACACCGCTGGTTGAAGCCATGGGCCTATATCAAACAATATCCTGGCTTGGCTTGGGTGATAGCACATTCTCAGTTCTAACACAAACACATGACTTCTTCACTAAGCAACTGCTCAGTAATAACCCCTTTGAATGATTTCTTCTATATCCCAATTATGTGTTAGTTAGCTTTAGTTCGGAAGTGAAAGATTTGACATTCCTCTCTAATCCCAAAAGAAATCCACCTTAATCCTCTTTGCTAGTGTTGGTGGACTGTCCAATTTCTATCTGCATAAAGTATCTGATGACTACCATTCATAAATCCGAGAACTGCCTCTTCTGCTGGGACCAAAACCATTCATTTGAGAAAGCCACCCACCTGCCCCCATACCAGTATCTAGCTGAAGACCACCAGTGTCCCTGGACAATGACTTCCCTTAGCATTCTACATTTTCTCTCGAGTTCAGTCTGGATACGTGCTGGGAGGGCCAGCCTTCTTTATCTGATGAGACCTGACAGGCTCAATAGCCCAGGGCAGGTATAGCTGTCTGTGTCTGCTGTTCTCTTTATTAGCTGTGAGAGCAAACAGTTTAATTGTATTACTGGAAAACCATTTTAAGGCCCCTTCTGTAAAAGAGCTCTTAAGATGGTCATAAATCCTCCATGGTGCCCTTTCACTGCCCTGATTAATGTCACCAGATCGTCTGCCAGCCTTTTTAATATGGCTTCTAAGAAATACTGGAAATGAGAGCCTTGGTGCCCAAGTAGGATTGTATAAAATCACCCCAGATATGATAGGAGACAGAATGCCTAGGCTGTAACACCCAAAACAAGGCTGTAGCTCACTGTCAGAGCAACATGTTTGAATGGGAAAAACGAATACAAAAAAAAAGGCAGGGGAGATGCATTGCAAAAGGCATATTTCTTTGCAAGCAGTGGGTGTGTGTTGAATGAGTATGCTAGGCTGACATAGATATGACACCTGTAATTCAAACTGACTACATGGATTTATCAAAGAAAGGTATTGTTTATCCCACCCCTGTTTCAGAAAATAATTAGAGGCTTGAATTTTATCTAAGCTATAAACCTGGTCTAGATGAGGGATGCGGGGAGTCTTAGGATGGAACAAAGTTTTGCCTCCACCGTGTGTTTTCAAAACAGAGTTATCTGAGGCCAGGAAGACTCAATTTCTAACAGAAAAGTGGTGGGCAGGAGGAGGATGCTTAACCTTTTCCACTTTCCCCTAACTCTCACCCTCAGTTTTCCCCGCACTCCCATCTAGGTTTCAGGTCTATGTCTGTGACTGAAGTATCAGATGAAGGCTGCGATCAGATGTGCCATTTGGTGCGGAGGGAAAGCAAGCCTATTTCCCCCGGTGGAAATTGACACATTGTTGCATGAGCACACATCCTTTGTAGCTGCAGGCTCAGCCCGTCACTGCGTGATCAGACGGCATGTGTGGGCGAGTGGTTTTTTTTTCTTTTGCCTTTTGTTTCCCATGCGCATAAACGAGGAATCAAACCTCCACACAGAGGGTTCCCCATGGAGTAAGGGGTTATGTGCATACTGTTAAGCGAGGGGAAAAAACTGGTACCGAGTTGGGATGGAATGAGCAAACCATGGGGTTATTTGCATACTGTTAAGCGAGGGGGAAAAACTGGTACCAAGTTGGGATGGAATGAGCAAACCATCCTGACAACTTGAGTGCATGCTTGAACGATCAGACAGGGGAAAGTCCATCCATGGCCTGTCGACAAGCATTAGAACCAGACTTTCCCCGGTGTCCTTTAAATTCCCTTCTGTGGTGGGGAAGCATAGGGGGCCGACAGCTGTGGGACCTTTCCCAGATGTTGCTGTCTGATCATGCCCTTTAGCTCTATCAGGTATTCGCAGCTGAGTCGGATCTAAAGGTACGTCTGACTGTGGCCTAAATGTCATCTGAAGAAAAAAATAGGTTTGTAGGAGTGGGTGAATGAAGGAAAACACCACCTCTCAACTTTGACTGAATTGCTCTGATGTTGTGGGATATGCAATCCTAACAAATCCTTACTCTGCCTTGGAAGCTTGCTGGGTGACCTTTGGCCAGTCACACACTTTCAGCCTAACCTACCTCACATTGTTGTTGTGAGGAGAAAAAGGAAGTGAGGAGAGCAATGTAAGCTGCTTTGGGTCTCCACTGGGGATAAATACAGGGTAATAAAGCAAATAAGTAAATACATAAATAAAGATAAAGCCCTACTGCAGAGGTTGTTTGAAAGAGCTTACTGTAATAACCACAATGGACTTGAGAAAATAAAATGAATACATTTTATTTATGTTATTTATAATCTGTCTGAGACTCAACATGGATTACACAGTGTAGTAGTAATAATAGTAGTAGTAGTAGTAATCTTTATTGCATCTTACAAGTCATATCAAATACAAAACAATTAATGATTAATAACACAAAAAATCCAATTACAATATTCATCCAGATCCATAAACCACAAATTAAAAATCCTAATATTTACTCATAGGATATTAATGTGGCTCATATGTTCATAGCAGATAACATGGATTACACAGTGTAAGTCAACACAATCGATAGGATAAGACATCTAATAAGCAACATAGTAGGACTAGAATTACAGAAATCTGAAAGTAAAGTATTAGATATGGCATATTAATACAGAAAATTGGATGACACTAGTAGAAAACAACATAGTAATAGTAAGACCATACATACAGCAACAGTTAAGACGTACTACATTCTACCCACAGTACTTTAGTCCACCGTTCTGTTCCCTTTACCAAAGGACTTTCCTGAACCATTCTAGTACACAGCCTTTTTATTTTTATAAAAACACCCTTCTGAACAGTTCTGTTTTACATAGTTTGCAGAAGGACATAAGCATGGGAGCCTGCATCTCACAGCTTTCATTCCAAGTTATTTACAAGCTTGCTGTCTAGAAGATCTTCACTCTTCTCTCAAACACTGTCTGTTGTCATATGATGGCCTGATGGATCACAGAAGCTTTCGAAGCTGAGCCTGTAACAACTGGCATTGCTTAGGAATATGCACAAAAGATTTAACACAGGCCTTAATCAGTGTTCCTCACACTTTTTTAGCCTCAGGCTCACACATTTTTGTCTTAGCTCAGGAGGGATGACACCAGAGCAAACTAATTCATGCAGTAGCCAAATCACTCACTCACAACTTCAATGGCATTAGCTCACAAAGTGGAAGTTTTGCTCACAAGACTCCACAACTTAGAGGGAGCATGGCCTTAATATTAGTATCCTGATCATAACATGTAGCTAGAAGAACATTGGTTATCACTGGTGTTTAAATCTGTAGTTTTCTAGTG